TTCTGATTCCGTTGCAGCATCAGTGGTGACGTCAGAGACCTCAGTGGTAACGACTACAATGCTGTCCGTCTCAGTGGTAGTGGTGGATGAATCACAAGCATCATCTTCGGTGGTCACTTCTTCGACGATATTCTCAGTAGTGGCAGTATTGTCAGTATTACAGCATGAGTCATCTATCCACAATGTGAAATCAATATTTCTGATTTCAGGGCAATTGACTAATTGATTGCTGAAATTAAAATATGTTAATCTTTTAGCATTTCATTTGGTACATGAGTCGAATTAAAAAACTTATTTTTAAATATATTACATACAGTTTAGGTATCTAAAAACTGTGTGATTTCTTTTTTTTCTTTTTTAAATAAATTTCTTCACAAGCAATATTATTCTTCAATCGACTTTCAATACAGAGGTTTTCAGTTGTTGTATGGCTTGTGTCTGTATTATGTTTGTGCATGATTATCCTTGCGGTTGACTGAATCGATTTTAATTTTGTTTTGAAGTCGGTTTTTTCATAGTTAGTAAATAATTATTCTATAAATAACGTTACATACTGTACGTTTATATACATTATTATAATCTATACATATATAATTCAAAGGTGATTGACTGACTGACTGACTGAAATAGTGATCTATCAACGCACAGCCCCAACCGCTGGACAGATTGGGCTAAAATTTGGTATACAGATAAATGTTATGATGTAGGCATTCGCTAAGAAAGGATTTTGATAATTTCCACCCCGAAGGGGTAAAAAAGGGGATGAAAGTTTTTATGAAACTTTGTCAGTTTTAAACCGATCGGGTTGAAATTTGGCATACAGATAGAAGTTATGACGTAAACATCCGCTGTGAAAGCATATTGATAATTTCCTCCCCCAAGGGGGTAAAATAGGGGGTGAAAGTTTGTGTGAGTCTTTGTCAGTTTTAAACCGATCGGGTTGAAATTTGGCATGCAGATATATGTTATGACGTAGGCATCCGCTAAGAACGGATTTTGATTATTTTCACCCCCAATGGGGTAAAATAGGGGATGAAAGATTGTATGAAACTTTGCCATTTTTACACTAATCGGAATGAAATTTGGCATGCAAGTCGATGTTATGGTGAAGACATCCGCTATGAAAGGATTTTCATTATTTCCACCCCCCAATGGGATTAAATAGGGGATGAAAGTTTGTACGAGCCTTTGTCAGTTTTAAACCAATCGGGTTGAAATTTGACATGCAGATCAAAAGCTTAAATTCTGCCAGAAGTCATTTTGCGCGGACGAAGTCCCGGGCAACAGCTAGTTAATCATAAATGTATACATACATACATGACCTCTTTAGTTATGAATTCTATTAAAAAGATTTTTTTTTCAAAATAAGTAGAATTTCTGAAATACATTCTCTTATTACCGTGTTTTTATTGGTTACTACTGCATTTCAGGCGATTATTTTATATCCTATAGGGTGGTTAATGAAGGTCGTTGCCATTGTCTTACAGAAGAACTCAATTTAATGGTTAAATGGTATCCATTCACTCCACAGTTATGGGTCAGATATACAAGTCTTATAATAATTATAATCGGCAATCTATATAAGATACTATTTAGAAATAATTTTTATGCCAGTAACATGCACCTAAATTATTTAAAAACGTTATTATGGCTATCTGAGGCATTAGTACGAGTATGTTTTACGGTTTAAAGTATTCGAAACGAGTACGCGTTCGGCGCTCTAAGGGCTAAGCACGAATAACTATCGCATTCGTATCGTAACAGTATCAAGCGAGTTAAGCGTTCTGATTGGTTGGCTCACTTGAGCCGGCCAATCAGAGCGCCGAACGCGCTCGATACTATTTCGTTACGAATGCGATAGTTATTCGATCTTGGCACTCTGATTGGTTGCTTCATTCTAGCCGGCCAATCAGAGCGCAAAACGAGTACTCGTTTCGAATATTTTAAACGTAAATCAAACTTGTACTAAGGCCTCTGTTTAACACTCATGCAATCAGTTTCTAAACGATATTATTATTTTTTTCTAATTCAGTACGTAATAAAGAAAAACGTTTCTTACTTTGAATTGATGTTCAAAAATGCGTTATGTTGAATTTCTTTGACACCTTCTCCGACACTACAAAGTAATAACGCAGCCGATGCTTTTCTGATCTCCTGCAGTTGTTCTGAAAAACAAAATCAGAGGCTAAACTTAAAGTTAAAATCAGAACATTTATTTAAATGCATCCGTGTGAAGGCACTTATAAAACGTTCAAATAGAATTGGATCTAAGTTAAGCAGAAAGCATCCATTACACACTAGCGCCAAAATGAATTGTCCGTCTTTCGGGTCGTTAGTGAAGCTCATTACACTCTTGCCATGCCATGAAGGTCGTTAAACTCATGCCAAAATGTATCTTCGGGCCATAGATTTATTCGGGCGGAGAAGAACAAGCAAGAAACTCAATTCTTCAATATTGTCTATTCTTTGTTGTTATACATTATTCTAGTAGAATACACTTCATGTATAAGGTGTATGACGTATACATTTATCTTTGATTGAATGATTGGTGCGGTGGTTGGGCAACTGGCTGCCGTGCAACCTGTCGCGGCGAGGTCGGTTCCCGCACGGCACAACTCTATGTGGTATTCATAAATTGTTGTTCCGGGTCTGAATGTCATGTGTATGTCAAATTATGTGACACACAAATGACACAGGACAAACGGTTAGTGTGGATCAACGTTTAAAAAAATTATAATTAAATTTTTAATAAAGCTTACCGTATGTAAAAGCGTGTGGACGATTCTGTCTTTCATACCAATGTCTATCAGCTTGTATAATCTTGAGTATATGGTCGTTCATTAAGCAAGCCATTGTTGGTGGAAGATGTCCTCCTTTCATTACCACTTCGTTCCAAATTCCCACCAAAAGTTCTATGTCAGCAACATTCTCGTAATGGTTCATCAGTTTTATTACATTCTGGAAATTACCAAAGCTTTTTTATTTATTCTATAAGACTCAAGTGTGGGTGAGCCATGCTACGGCACGAATGGACCGGCTCGACCGGAGTGATACCACGGCCTCACAGAAAACCGACGTAAAACAACGCTTTCGTTGTGTTTCGTCGTGTGAGTGAGGTTACTTAGGCCCAATTACCCCCTCCTACCCATCCCTACTCCCTGAACTCCCAACAATCCTAAAATTTCTAATCCTAAAAGGTCTGCAACGCACTTGCTACGCTTCTGGTGTTCCAGATGTCCATGGTTGACGTCATGACGCTGATTGTTTACCATCAAGTGATCCTGCTCGTTTACCGACTTATACCATAAAAAAGACTATTGCTACGTGGTTTGTGATCAGATAATCATAATTACTCTTACCTCGTTGTCCATATAATCGTGCAAATCGTTAAAATTTGTAATATTTCTTCCAGTGCAGTAGTAAACGTAGTGTACATATGGGGCTATGCCTAAATTACGGCCCATATCTAACTCGCTGGTCACAAAATCTTCCCCTCCATCTAAACTGCTGGCCATCAAGTATGCAGTCTGGAAAGAATAAATGTGTTCTTAATTTAAACATGTTGTATTGGTCATAAACGATAACCGTTACAATTCAAGGTTAAGTACAGTCTTGACTTGATTTTTTCTATCTACGATTTGTAGTCAGGCGTTGTCTAGTTATTACTTTTTAGTTTACAAAAGCTTTCACGTATCTTATTTTTTAGGTAATAACATAACATCATTTATCCCCGAAGGGGTAGGCAGAGGTGCGCATTATGGCACTTAATGTCACTGTACAATGTAAGACCCACTTTTCACTATTTATATTAAGAGTCCTATGTAATAGGGGGTGAGCCTATTGCCATATACCGGGCACATTTCCAGAGTCCATGCTACTATTGAGATTTTTAAAAAACCCAGTAGTACTTTGCCTGACCCGGGAATCGAACCCGAGAACCCTTGCCCGGCAGTCGCACTTGCGACCTCTCGACCAATGAGGTAGTTTTCGGGTAATACAACTAATTTATTTTATTTCTGTAGTTGAGACTCCCACATTAAGGTTTTTGCCCGTGTTCTGTTAACACAAGAGAATAACAATCATTCAAGTTTACACAAGGAACTCGTCGCCGCGTCCGCACACACTGCTCATGAAGAAGTCTCGATGTGACTCGAAACTACTAGAGCTATTCTCATCATTTCAGGTGAGTAAACCAGTCTTTCAATTAATTTAGTACGTCTCACGATAGGTATTATAAAATGGGAATAAGAATTGGATATGTGACAAGTTTCATAGCAGCCATTCACCAGACCGCTACACTATCGCAGTCGAATTAACCATAGTATAAAAGTACCACCTGAACAAATATTACCATAGAATTAGCATCAACTTTGTAAATGGAACATATACGAACCTCTTTATCGAAACTATGGTCGATCTTTCGTGATGGTTGCCTGAACTGTCCTTGAACCAAGTATTCTCTATTGTTATCTTCATTCAAGAACTCCTGTATCGACTTAATTTTCAACATGTTGATCTCATCAACATAATCGCCATCCTCGTCGTACATTCTGTGGGGTGAGAGAAGAAAGTTGAGAATAGAGATGATGCCAGGGTATGAAAATTAAAAATATAATTAGTTCGTCAGTTAGGTAATGAAAAAATATTAGACATGTATTTTTTTTATTTTGGCATACAAGAAAACAATCTTGTATAAAACGAATCAAAGTTTAGGAGTGGGAGTTAAAACGTCATTTCTACGTATAAAACGATCATAGAAGTGACGTCACGCGATATTTCAAATCAATATATCTTCGAAACTATTCGTTTTCGTAAGAGAATAAAAAATACGTGTCTAATGATTTAAATTAATCTACCAGACGGACATTAAAATAAAAAATTAGTCATCTACCCTATTGGAACAATACCGTTATTGTTAACAACATAACATACATCACTGCATTTGCTTGTCGGAGGCAATGCATTTGTGACCTACGATGTGCTATTACCGACCCTAAGACAATTAGTCAATGAAGACTCAGTGCTACAAAGGGTTTTCGAAAATTGAAATACTCAGAAATACTTTGCCCGATCTGAACAAAATCCGTAATCCCTTGTAGCCAGGTAGTTTAATCTCTGTTGATAAAATAAAAGTCTTATTCACTTCTCAATCCCGGGAAAGATACAACTAAAAGCATACCAGGCTTAGTGAGTAGGTATGGTAGTAACTTTGACATTATGTCGGTCGTGGTGTCCTCGAAGTTTAAAACGCTCGCTTCTCATGCATGAGGGTGTGATTTTTTTCAAGTTAGTTACTGACAAACACGATATTTTCGTAAGGAAAACTGGGCTTATAATTTCTAATCCTTACTCATATTATAAATCGGAAAGTGAGTTTGTTTGTTTGTTCCGCTTTCACGCCGTAACTACTAAACCGATTGCTTTGATTTTTTGCAGACGTAAAGTTAGAAGTCCAGATTAAATAATAGGGTACTTATTTTTTATCCCGGAAAAAAATTATATTTCCGAGGGAAAACAAAAGTATTGGTATAGATGGCGCTGTGTGTATTGGTATGTGTCACAGGCTACTTTTTATCCTTTTGAAACGCGAGAGTAGCCGCGGGTAAAAGCTAGTTTATTATAAGTTTGTAATTGCCAACCCGCATTGAGCTAGCGTGGTGATTAATTTATTATTTTTTTGTTATGCTCCAAACTTTATACGTGCGAGAAGAAGCTGTTGGTGTGATGTGATGTTTTGTACACTCACACTTTAACCTTGATCGATAGAATCAACTCAACTATTTTTATTTGAACCAGAAACATGTAATAAGTTAAAAGTGGTTAAAAAACTTACCTCAGTGGGAAGTAAATGTTAAAAACTCAGTTTACTTACTCAGCGTTAGCATCTAGAGTGCTTAAGAACCAGCTAGAAATATAGAGAAACTCCAAAGAAACTGTCGGGTATTTAGTTTCATCATAAATATCCCTGAATCCAGTGTCATTTGCTAGAATTCCAACGTTGATTAGATGTTCACGTCCTAGAAATAAATACAAATATCGTTAATGGGGTTTTAATATTAGCTGTAAATCTAAATTGTTAAAAATCTTCATCTAACGTTAAATTCCCAGCCAGTTCCGCCAGTTCTCGCTGACTCGGCCAGTTTTCGCTCGGAAAGCAGGCAAACTGGTCCTCGTGAGGAAGACGGGACGCCCTGCGTACTTTCCGACCACGTACTGGCTCATCGTGCTGCTCGACGAGGTGGGGAAGGTCTTCGAAAGAATTATTTCGAACCGCCTCGTCGCGCACCTGTCGGATCTTGGGCCGTACTTATCGGACGGCCAGTTCGACTTTCGCAGAGGACGCTCCACGGTGGATGCCATCATGCGCGTTAGAGACCTCACGACGGGGACTGCAGTATCCAGAGGTAAGGTCTTAGTGGCGGTGTCTTTGAACATCGCCAACGCCTTCAACTCCCTGCCCTGGAGCTGCATGTTAGAGGCACTCCGCTAACATCGGGTGCCCATCTTACACCGTCGTGTAATCGACTCAATTGGCTATGACTGGGTTCTGCACACCGACCTCCCGAACGGCGTTAGCATCGTTTCGGGCCTGCAGACAGCGAGCATGGGTGGCTCCCCGTCCGACCAGAAACAGACCCGAGCGTACGGCGCGTCGCGTTCCGCGCGCGCCTCAAAGAGCCATAAGACCACCACAGATGGGGCCCAATAGGGCCGATGCCGATTCGGAGTCGCGGAGAACCTAACGGGTAACCGAGGCTCCCACTCGACGTGCAGGAGAAGGAACGGGGTGGTTTTTAGTCAGTAAGAATCTGACACTCCCTCCCGCCTCACCCAGGCGGGAGCAGTCATCCGACGATTTTCCCCCCTTAAAAAAAAAAAAATGTTACGCCGACGACGACACGCTGGTACTAGCGCCTGCGCACGGGAGGTCGTACCAGGCGGCGGCGAATTTGATGGCGACGGTTGCGACAGTCTTTGAAAGAATACGGCAACTGGGACTGAAGGTGGCGCTCCACAAGTCCTAGGCCATGTGCGGGAACGCGCCACTTCCGGGTGAAGCCGTAATTGGGGACTCACCCGGAGGGTTACCATCGGCGTCGACACGACGAAGAAGTACCTGAGACTCATCTTCGACAGTCGGTGGAACTTCGTGGAGCACTTCCGATGTTTGGCTCCTAAGTTGGAAAGGACAGGGGTGGCGCTTAAGCGTCTCCTACCCAACCTCGGGGGGCCAAACGTCTCCTGCCGGAGGTTATACGCGGGGGTCGTGCGTCCATAGCCCTCTACGGCGCCCCTGTATGGGCGCCGAATCTGATGCGGCGGCCCGCTCGGGCGCCGCTCACCTCTCAGAGGGTCATGGCGATCCGAATGATCCGCGGATACCGCACGATCACCGGGGAGGCGGCGAACATCCTTAGCCTTAATCTATACATTATTCTGAATCACAACTTTTCACACACACATACACACACACACACACTTGCAGAATAATTGCTTTATTTCGACAATTCTATATTTATTTATTTTTCCTTATTGAGCGGCGGTACCGCCGTCCGTGAGTCACTGCAAGGTGCCACCTGTAAACCAGCGTTGCGCACATGCCCATACATACATATGTATCTACGCTCAACTAAGTATAGTTATGCTGAGGTGGAGGCCCTTTTGGCATGGGCAGGCGCGTTGAAGTAATATATTATTTTTATCGTTTTTTTATATTTAATTTCTGAAGCACATTTTATTATAGGTAGGACTTCGATGTTTTTGTTCTTTTCTTTACCTACTCTTTTAAGTTTTTATTATTATTTTATTTGTATTGGTATAATCCTAACCAGATCCAAAGTAAGATGATAGGTAACTTCACCGCACCGTCCACCAATCCGTTAAAACGAAATAATCGCGATTAATCTTTTTTACATTAGGCCTTGAGAACCAGTATAAACTGATCGTTGAATATAAGGAAAGATCATACAAAACGAGACCAAGATAAAATGGTTATTGTACTTGTACTCCCGACTGTGTTAAACTATTTAGGTAAGTATTTACCTACTCATTGAGGGGCGTGCACAGATTTGAAGAAAGGTTGGTAAGCACCAGATATCACATTTCACGAGTGTCAATTAATTCGGCTCTGAATTTGAAAACAAGAAAACACATTTCATAAACTTTGTGTGCACATAACCTGCTAGCCAGCTACAACTGGTCAGAATACCTTTTATTGTGAAAAGAACGAATAAAGTTACCTTTTTCAGTTAGGTACCTACGCCTAATCCGGGCACACACACGTAACCGTCTTTAAAAACATTTCTTGAAACGACAACGCGGATAACACACTCATATTTAATTCATTTACACACACATCACCAGCACAGAGCTTACTGCCGCAATTTTCCATAATTCATTTACGGTTACAATTACAATCTATTTACTCAAATCACTCAGAAAACCAATCAGAACAAAATTCCGCGTAAAGCACAAGTTACTGTTCTGTTTTCAAACAAGACAGTTACGAAGTAGTTCCTACACCAACCACGATCACACAATGGTTGGGTGGCGGCGCTAGTGGCACCGACACGATATCAAAGGTAAAATTGTGCAAATATCGATTTCACAAAGAATGTTTGGTATTTTTGTAGTAGTTCAGCAATTTTATCATAGATGGCACTATTACTATTTTTCCAATTTAATTACGAATTTCTATAAGATGTCTGACATTCGTATTGAAGTAATGAGTGTGAGTACGTATTTATTTACCTTTCTAAGCCGATTACTACATGTAAGAACGAGAAGATGCGAATATCGTCTACATAACACGGGAATTGTACAAATATAGATATCACAAAGAATGTTGTAGTAGTTCGGTTTTTTTTCCATAGATGGCATTTTTACAAAATCTCCTATACTCGGAATTTTAATTCGATTCCAGATTTGACAATTTCAGTGTTGCAACGTTATAACAAGTACTAAATAGTGACGTTGCGAAATTATTCGATATGGAAATGGAATATTTCTGGATCGATTCTTCTCGTTTATAATTTTACTCTCGTCAACTAAGGATATCAGGAAATTAAATATTTCTGACCGATAATTTAGTTTTGACGATTACTTAACGATCTGAGACTTTTCTTTTATAATTGATGAATCATGAAGGAAAATGACAAATAAAACAGATAGATGTATTATGGTAATAAGTTATTTTATAAATTGTCGCCGTCATCGCTATCGCTATAGCTGTCACTTTATGTAACATTTATTATAAAACACACACACTGATTGTTTATCGATTTTTGTGTTCATCACTACACTATTATATGTGGTATCATTATTTCACAAAATGACAGTAGCTATTGTCAAATCTGGAATCTTATTAAAATTCTGACTATAGTTATAAATCAAAATTAATTAAAATAACAAATTTCTATATGATGTTTGACATTCGTATCGAATTGAGAGTGAAATTACGTATTTATTTACCTTTCTAAGCCGATTACCATGTAAGAAAGAGAAGATGCGAATATCGTCTATTTGAAATGCACTCGTCAATAAATAATGAAAAAGAATGTAATACCCTTATTCATAGCATTATTGTAACCAAACAAACTATTTAACTAATAGGTACAATGACAAGGAAATCAGCCTACCTTATCTTTCAAATTTATTCATTAAATTTTCGACTTTATGTCAATAGGATAAAGTTGAAGATACCGTACCACTAATAAGTAGCAGTGTACATCAGCAGCAGCGCGGTGTCATGCGGTCGGTTTCTTTTGACGGTTATTATTGCCACAGAAATATTAAAAAATGAGAAGTGGCAAGAGGGCGTGTCGGTTACGCTCGCACTTGAGCGTTCGGCTCAATGTAGGAAAATATGGCCGTCACCGCGAGTTAGTCTGTTGTCACCCGCGATCGTACAACAAACGATAAAATACCGTCTTGTGCAGTGGTTTCGTGCAGACATATAAGCCAAAAAAAACTGTAGAATTCATGGCATCGGTTACCATGTGTAAGAACAAATATTTACAATATTTATCTTAAAAATCACGAAAAACAACAAGTTATTACTTTATTTTTCTACATGATTCCGACTGTATTGTGTGTACATTAATACATTACTCTTTTACAACCACCTTATTGTGACACTGAGTAGCTAAACCAGCAATGTAAAAGTGACTTAACGAAACGCTCATCAAACCGCGATGTCACATGGTGCGTCCGCTGCTCAAGTCCGCCGTTTTTGAGCGAGATAATGATGTGGTCGTGGAGATTTATTATAGTCTATCGACAAGAAAGTCGACTGCAAATATTTATATTCGTTCACTTGTTATTGTTATAGTATTTTACTTTAATCATCATAAATGAACCACTATCTTTGTATGCATTATAACGATCATCATAGCATAGTCATAATTTTGTTCTCACAGAGCAGTCCCCAATGAATAACCATATAATATTATTAATAAAAGCAGTCATGGAAAAATACTTATATAACATTAAAACTTCATTAATTAAGCAAGATTGCGATACCTCCTTATCCAAATTATATCATTTTAACTACATACAACTGGTCGTTTGATTAGTAATAATTTTTTAATAATTAAATTATATTTTGTTGGTTTCATGTCGTTTTTACTTTATTTCCAGAAGCTTTGTAAATAAATTTATTATCGATATATTCATCGGGAACTATCGATATCGTCAAATCACTACGGCGGCGCTCCTAACACACAGTGACAAATTGTTTTAGTGTGAGTAAATCATAGGAGAATGTGACGCTCCGGCCCAACTTGCGGCCACGAGCGAACTGTGCAAAAAAACTCAAAGTTACAACAAGTTCTAGTGTTCCTATCGTGCAAACACATATTGTGAACTCTCTCCGATAGTGCAATCACACGAAAACTATTGTAAAACCAGTGCAAATACGAAAGTGAAAACACTTGGGCGAGTCCATTTTCCGCGTGCCGCCGGTTGCGTCTGTAGGTATATAGGTACCTACCGACTTGTTGAAACTACCATCCTCAAAATCATCACCCGTGCTCTTCGAGCGAGTAACAGTTGTATTTGCCTGTTGTTATCATGCCGCCGAAGAGAAGAACTGGAAGAGATGAAGGATCGGATACCGACTCAAATGTCGAGATGAACAGAACCGTGATTTCGACCCCGAATATTACAATGTCGGAGGATATGCTAAATGCCTTTGTCTTCAACATCACTAGGAGTCAAGTGGAAGCAAAGAGAGGTCTGATTGAATTGAAAGTATTTTGGCGGGAAACAAAAACCCGTTGATAACGTCATCGCCGCGCGCCGAAGACGCCGACGCACACACGCATGCACCGCGCGCGGGAAACTTCGCGAAATGCACGGCGCGATTTAACGGATCATCGAGGAACGCGGATGAGCTCGAAGCATTTATCGAGGCCATCGAAGTCTACCGCGACTGCACCAACGTCAACGACGGGCACGCGCTGCGCGACCTG